GCGGCCGCGGCGGCGGGACGACAGAGACTCGGACGCCGCGGCGGCGCCCCTGCAGGACGCGGAGCTGGCCCTGGCCGGCATCAACATGCTGCTCAACAACGGCTTTAGGGAGTCGGACCAGCTTTTCAAACAATACAGGTGACCGCAGAGCCCCTGCTCCCTTGTACCGGCCGCGCGACCTCGTGGCGGGCTTACGCGCTGGGACCTGCGGCTGGTCCCCAGACTCCCCCTCTCTTCTTCCCCTCTGCCGCTAATTCCCGGTCCCCGCGTCGCCTCCCGGGGCCTGATCTGCAGTTGGCGCTCCTGCGCCTTTGCCACATCCTCCCTTTTCACCCCACCCCCGCTCCGTTGTCCTCCCCGGGACCTGCCGCGCGTCTCCCCGCTCTCCTGCAGGCTCCCTTCACTTTCTCCCCGCCTTGCCCTCCGAGGTGTGTCCAGTGTTTGCTCCTGTCCCAGCGGTTGTCGTGTCTCGAGTGGGCTGGGTTTAGGGCCCGATGCTTTTGAGGCAGCTGCAAGCCGGGAGCTGCGGGGTGACTCTGGCTCGCGTGCTGGCGGGGCAGCCTTTGTGACACCAAGTACAGCAGCTGCATAGTGCCTGTTTGTTGCGCCTGGCATTGCTTTGCATCCCCGTGCATTCAGACACTTTCATTGTTTGAGGACGCATGCATAGTTGTCACGCCGTGCAGGAATTTAACAATTTTAACCCAACTCTGCCCGCTCCTTTCTCTGCCGCTCTTCCAAAAACTAAGTCCCTGAAATGAGTTTCTAATGCCTTTCAAGCGAGCGTGATAATGAAGAATTGCTGTAATGTAAAGGAAGGAAGAAGAAATTGGAGGGATTTTTAAAAACGCTTAAGAATAGAAGGGGAAACACGTGAATTCAGTTGATTTTTAAAAGACATATATATATATATATATATATATATATATATATATATATGTATATATATATATATATAAATGAAAAATCTGAAGCCTGGTAGCTTTCTAGTGGGTGTGGGAGAAGCCTTCCTTTTACTGGGGACCAAAAGCCTACATTTTCTTGTTTAGGAAGCAAGTTTGTGATTTGTCTTGTTAGTATTGACAAGCCATAAGAATGTTGATTAGCAACTTTCCGGAACATGTTTTAGGGCCATATGCTTCTCACTTTTTTAGACCTCATAGTTTGTTGAAATGAGAGGACCATAATGTGTTGTGATGGAGAGCCACAGTGTGTAAGAAAATGAGGCGAGGGGGAACACCTAAAGTTTGAGACCATCAAGCTTGGGAAGCTGCCACATTCCTAATGCCAAAACATATACCTTAGAACTTTTTGTTAAAGGTGTTTTACTTTTAAGTCAGCTGCTCACCCCCCCCACCCTCATTTTTGGTCTGAAAATGAACACACCTAAGCTTTTCTCAGAACATTTTATTTGTGAAACATACAAGTCTGGTGTCAAGCCATAGTTTCATCAAAGGCTGTTGACGGAGGATTTAGAAGATTTACTTGTCCCACAATATCTCTGTTTTTTAGCCCTCTGAAAATGTATTTCATGGGAAAAAAAAAGATCTGAATGTTTCATATGACTTTTCTGACTACCAGTTTGCATTGTATGGGAGAGGAATGGAGAAAGTCTAGAGAGTCACATTTATTCTCTGTAGTTGCTGGTCTAGGTACTTGCATATTTTAATTCTTGCTTTGAAATCTGCAATAGTTATTTCCATGGTCTTTTTTCATTCTGTACATTTACATACTTAAACCTCATGGTGCAGTTGCTGTTTTGTTGAAAGCGTGAAAATTTTGTCTCATCTGGTTTTATACACTGTCAATAGAGGGCAGAACACACTCTTTCAGGCCAACAACAGAGAGACACACCTTGAATGGTTTTCCTCTGTGGGTGAGGGAGGGAGGAGTTTCTAGGGAAGATGTCCCCTGTGTAACCAGGGGACCCTGTGTTGTATGCTTATATTTCCAAATGGGAATTGAAGATAAAGAAGAAGAAAAAATAATACCTGTTCTCTGCCAAGCACATGTGCTACCCACATATCCTTATCTGTTCTCACTGTTCTTAGAACAGCAAAAGAGGTATATCTTATGACAATTTTATAACAAGGGACCTGAGACTCGGTGTTAGCATGGGCTTAATCATTGTGGTTCTAAATCAGGGACTCTTTGATTTTTTTACCATTCTGTCTGATTATTATATTTTGTTGTCTGCCCCATGACCTTATTTTCCAGCAATGTTCAAAAGCTTTCCTTGAAGTGGGAGGACGGAAGAGGACAGATGACTGTGACAGCATTCTCCTGTCAGCTTTCCCTTGCTTCATCTGATGTTTATGATGTGAAAAGTCATTGCATTCTTCCCACCTTCCAAAATACTCTTCTCGTTCATTCGTGCTTTGGGAAGCACAGTTGCATAAATATCTGCTCAGGAACTGGCATCCAGCAACCAGGGCTCAAATCCTAGTTTTGCCTCTTCTGTATCTGCTGACTTTAGTTGCTCAAAATATGCTTCCTTGCCTATACAATGAGAGTAGCATTGATAGTACTGACTTCACAGTTGTTGAATCTGGCACAGTCTAAGCACTCAGCAGTTGCTCATTAGCTCTGTACTTGTTGCCTCCCCACTAGTCTTGGGTTCTATATGTGACTGTAGTTTGAGTACAAGACAAAATGCCTTGTGTGTGAGTGTCTTTTATATTTAAAGCTCACTTCACACATTATGTCTGGAAGATATAAGACCCTGTTATGCATCGAATAGCTTCCTGTCTTAATGGTGAATGACCTCCTGGAAGCTTAGCATTGATGTCTTGTAAGTGTTCAAGAAACACCTCTAGCTTAGTTCATCTGTGGAAGAGAGATGGATAACCCAATGACCAGCTCCATCTGCTTTTCATGATTGCCATTTCACAGGGACCCCCCTGCAGGCTCACTCCCCTTACTTGTAAACCTCCTGAAGTCTTATTGTTATAGTTTAACAAAGAAGTATTTTGTGTCTAGTGTAACAGTTGCATTTTTATTACATCAAGAAGGTCATTTTCTCTTGCCATGTTACTGGGATAAAAAATTTTACAGAATAGTGACCTAAGGAGAAGTAGTCACTTTGTAGAAACAGCTTATCATGAAGGCCATTCCGAATTTGTGGAAAGTCTGAATTGTTTAATTCAGATATCATTTATATAGGAATTAGAAGTATATGCACTGTAGAGACCTTCTTTTGAGACATTCAATAAGGCTCTAGTTGAAATTTATGCCAGTTCTCTTATTACTACAGGAATAATGTAGTGAGTGACAGGCTGCCCTGTTGTTGGCCCTGAGCCTCTGTTGTGCACTTAGAGATGTCTTCCCAGAGATCAGGACAGGCTTGTGCTGTGCTTTTGTGAACATGGTTTGTGTCCCCCAAAGGACCATACTGTTATAAAAGACTTGGTCCCCAGGATGACATTATTGGAAGGTGATAGAACCTGTAGAATGTGGGGCCTAAGGAGCAGTTCTTAGGTCATTGGGCACATGAGGTATTTCTCATGTGATATCTTGGTAGTTCTTGTGAAAAGGTTCTTGTCAAAAGAGCATGCCTAGCCCAGCCCGTGCATTTTCTGTGTAATTCTGAGATGTGATTCTTCCTATACAAGCTCCCACCATGATGTCTTGCCATCTGCTGACCTTACAAGAGGCCAAACCAATGGGGCCTAGCTTATCTTGGACTTTGAATCTCCAGAACACTAGGCTAAATAAATTTCCTTTTCTTTATAAGTAGCCTGTGTCAGGTATTTCACTACAGTCATGAAAAGTTGACTGATACAAGTTGCTTCAGGGCTTCTCTACTTTGAGCCTATGAACATATGTAAGTTTATGATACTAATAGCCTGAAATCAAACTTCTGATTTTGGTATTAGGGCTCAGTGCTTTAATCCAGCACTCCTTACATAACACACACACACACACGCGCGCGCTCAGGCTCTGAACTGATTTTGGCTTGTGTGTCACGTACTCAGGCACATGATAAGACAGACCATAGGTGAAGTGCACCAGAGGATGCCAGACTTTTAGGTGTTGTGCCCTATGTAGGATTGACAGTAGGTAAGATTGACAGTAGGGAGGCTGGGAGACATAGCCACAGGCTGTTATAGGACCAGAGAGAAGCAACTTCTAGCCCAGGCAGAAGGAACTTTTGCAGAGGAAATGATGCTTGAGCTTCATGATGGGATAGAGAAGCAAGTCAAGTGAAAGAGGAGGAATTGGGAGGGATGGAAGAGAATGTGAGGGATGGTGAGGCTTAACCCAAGTCTAGGAGAGGAAACAGTGGAAAACCTACATGGAGATGTGAAAGTGCCTGTGGACTTATAATAATAACTGCAGACCGATGGGTACTTTTGTGTCGAGTGCTTTTTGTGGGTTAGTTTCTTCTTAACTACTGCTTGAGTCAGTGCTGTTTCTTAGAGTTACTTGGCTGTTTGGTGTCCAGTCAACTCACTTTCCCCATGACCACTGTCCACCGTGTGGAGGTCTCATCCATAATTAACTCTTGGCTCCTTGGGGCTTCTGAGTCCTACTCTCACCATCTTTTTCTCTTTACAGCTTGAAATGTTTCTTTGCATGTAAGAGAGGTACAGCACATTGGGGCATGAGAGATGTTTGGGGAACCCGGTCCCAGTGAGCTTTGCAGTTTTTGTTTCAGGCATTGAGTCTGCCTCCTTCCCCTTGCAGCCACATGCCATCTCCTGCTTTTATTTTTGGCATCCTTTCTGACCTTAAAGGGCTTCTTCTCTGCAGTTCTTACTCTGGTAATACTATTACTGATTTCTAGCTGTGGGTATTATTAAAAAGTCATATCGAATCATTGTCAACTAAAGTAAGCATATTAGAGTATGTGCTTAGCACGTGTGAAACCCTGAGGTCAATCTTCAGTGCTGGAAAAAAGAAAAAAAGAAGCATATAATGGTTATTATGAAATGTTCACTGGTGATAAATATGTATGAATAAATAAGGATTTGATATAGAACAGTGTTATGAATTGTGGTTTATCTTTTCCAGTTAACTTTATAAAATGGTAAAAATATTATTAAAAATTAAAAGCAGGAAAAATTCATTGGAAGTATCGTGTGCCTAAGTGTATAAATCCTAAATTGCTTAGCAGTTTATGGCATACAGGGCAAAGC